CCGTTTCAATTCCATTTTCCTTGAGTTGGGCTATTCAAAGTGCAAATAATTTATTTCTATTTTCCTTTTAGCGCGCTTTGTGAGATCTAATCCTTCTTTACTACTGGAAAGTCTTTTATTATCACACTTCCTTATCACTTAAAAAAGAAACTTAAACTGATCACTATCCTCAGTATGTCCATGTGCTTCCTGAATACCTAATATTTATTACTTTCAACATGGTTATTCCATTTGGTCTGGACACTTTCCTACATTTTTATTTTATTTTATTTTCTTGTTGAGGATACAAGCTTGAGATAGGAATTTTTATTCAAGGAAATTCCAAGCTTTCCACTTCTGAGTGTAGAAATTCTTTGTGTTATAAACATTAGGTGCATTGATTTCCTTTTCAACTGCAGAACTGTACATCATGTATCCAGATTCCTTAATTTTGCATTTATGGCCTAAACTGCACATAGGTTTTTGAAGACAGACAACTAGACAGAAAACTAGTAATGCAGCTTTACAGGCATAGAAGTGTACCCCTCGGTGTTTGGTGTTTATTATAGGATACTGCTGGTCTAAAGTGTTTTTTTTTAATATGTTAAAAGAAGCCTTAAAAATGTGCATTTGTTTACTGAAAACAATATTGTGATAAGGAGACCTGCAAGTATGTATTAAATCCAGAGTCTGGCATTTCTCTAATAGCAGGAATTTTAATAAAACACCAAAGCACTGATTAAGAGGTACTGTTCCTTTTTTCTGTGGGACAAATTAGTCACACTGTAGTATTTTTCTGAATTAGAATGTAAAAACACTGATAAAATCACAGATAAATGATTGGAATCATAGATAAATCATTATTAAAATATATTATACTGTGCCTATAAGGCTTAATTGTAATAAGAATGTAGCTTTTTCTGCCCTAACTGCTTAGATTATAAACTCTTGGGAACTATTTTACACTATGGAGTTCCTAGTACAGCTTCAGACTCAGTGGTCCTGAGGTACTTCTGCTACATAGATGCAATTAATCATGATAGTTTTGTCCTACGCAAAACTTTCCCATACAGCATTGATAATTTGGATTAAGATTTCAGAAACATCATTTGTCATATTTTCTGAATAGAAGTGAATAGGAGCCCAGTCCTGTTCAGGGTACTGTCAGGAGCAGTCCCACAGAAATACAAGACCTTTTGAACTCTCTTATTTATGGAAGCAGAACTTGGTTCTGGGGTGATGATCCACTGAAGATCATGGCAAAATACTCATTTTCTTCTCTGAAAAAGTGCTCCTTTCCTTGTGCTAGCTAATACTTTTCTAGTACGTGCTGCAGAAATAATAAGATCCTTTATACTTCTCTACTTCAGCATTCTTGACTCCAAAATGGTTTCCCTAGCGTGCTAATTCTAGTATCTGTTGTGCGCATTACTGCTGCCAGTGTTGGGGTTTTTTTAATATGGGTGAGCCTAAAAGACAAACCCTTAGAAGGATGTGGAAAGAGTGCAAGTGTCTTGCTATATAATTCCCTGAAATTGTTGGACAGTTTTTTCCAGTATCAAAACTTACATCTTTTTTCAGCTCCCCTGGAAAAACTGCTTTTTATCACTTGTTTTTGAGTACAAAGCTATGTCTATAAAGTGAGATGGATCAAAAATCAAACTATGATGACCTCCCTAATTTAAGATAGTGCTTGTCAGGTATAATGTAGGTATTTTATTCCTGTTCCTGGCAGTGTTTTTGCAGCAGATCGTGAGAACTCATATATCTGTAGTAGGCAGGTGGCTCTTCCAGGTGAGTTCACCCAGTTTCTATGGAATCTAAAGTATTTGATTTTCTTATGAGTAGATTTAAATGAATACTCCACCCAACTTTCTCTAACCCCTACTGCTTTTATTTCTAATTGTGAAGTATCACAAGTGAAAAATGAGTTAGGTATGCATTTCTCATGCATATAAATGTAAGCAGTATGCAAGCATATGATGTAGTTTCTTCCTGGGTCTGCAAAAGGGTAGCCTTAGAGCCTCTGCTGTTGATTAGAACTTTCACATGATGCCACACAGTTAAAGCTACTATTTTTAAAGTTGTATTAAGCATAGACAGCTGCAAAAGTGGCAAAAATCAGAGACTTCTTACCCTGCTCCTTGGGAATCTATGAATAGAACTGACCATCAGCACTGTTAACTCCCGTGGACAATTAAATCCTCTGTTCTAGAGGAGTCTCATAGTTAGGATGCAACTACTAAGTCACTGTTGATTTAAAAAAAATGCATAGAATCACTAGCAAGGCAAAAAACGGTGTACCAGAAGGACTCCTAGCATCCTTCCTCTCCTCTGTAGATGTGTGGAGTTTGGTCTCTCACCTAAGCGCTATTTTGAGACAGTGTTTTTTTCTGTCCCAATCCCATCTCTTAGTTGGCCTATAGCTAGTAAGTAGTAGTTTGCCATTTAAGGGTTTGGAGGTGAGAGAGAGGTTATTGTAATTGCATAATGTTGAACTGGGTATAGCATGCTGTCCTTCCCTGTATGTTGCAGGAAGTGTGACTAGATTGAAGACAAACTGGAAGTAAAGTTGGGTATTTCTCATGCTGGGTTAGAAGCTGAATGTTAAATATCAGTTACAGCCCTTAAATTAGATTTGTTTAGGTTGGAAAAGATCTTTAAGATCATTGAGCCCACCTGTTAACATGACACTGCTAAATCCACCACTAAACCATGGCCTGAAGCACCACATCTATACTTTAAAACATCTCCAGTGATGGAGACTCAACCACTTCCCTGGGCATCCTGTTCCAGTGCTTGACAAGCCTTTTGGTGAAGAAATTTTTCCCAGTATCCAGTATAAAACTCCCCTGGCACATCTTGAGGCCATTCCCTCTTGTCCTATTGCTTGTTCCTTGGTTCAAGAGACTCATCCCCAGCTCTCTGCACCCTCCTTTCAGGGAGCTGTAGAGGGTGATGAGGTCTCCCCTCAGCCTCCTCTTCTCCAGACTAAACCCCCCCAGTTCCCGCAGCCGCTCCCCATCAGACCTGTGCTCCAGACCCTGCACCAGCTCCGTTGCCCTTCTCTGGACACGCTCGAGTCATTCAAGGGCCTTTTTGTAGTGAGGGGCCCAAAACTGAACACAGTCATCAAGGTGCAGCCTCACCAGTGCCAAGTACAGGGGTAAGATCCCTTCCCTGTCCCTGCTGACCACGCTTTTGCTGACACAAGCCAGGATGCTGTTGGCTTTCTTGGCCACCTGGGCGCACACTGCTGGCTCATGTTCAGCTGGCTGTTGACCAACACCCCCAGGCCCTTTTCTGCCAGGCAGCTTTCCAGCTGCTCTCCCTCAGGCCTGTAGCACTGCTGGGGGTTGTTGTGACCCAAATGGTGGTTTATAGCGTTGCAAAACACTGATGCAATGCTGCGGTGTTACTTGAGTGACTCTTTGATTCAGATAATCCCATGACAGCATCTGTGGAAATAATAGTAGGCTTCTTTTTATTTAGGTTAAATTCATTGTGGTGCTGGAGCAGATGTGAAGCTTTCTGAAAAAAACTTGCTGTCTGGTGAGTAATACTTCTGTAGGGTCACTCAGTTTGCATAGTGTGGCCAGTTCTACAGACAAATGCTTTCATGAGGCTGTATTTTAATTTGTAACAGAAACTTGTTTTATGAACTAAATCTTTTACTGACTTTACCATCAGAAAATCACCTCTGTGGAAAGTATAGATTATGGTTCCATGAGACATACTGAATTTTATTATTATTATTCTGATGAAACTCTTTATTGATCTTCTACTATTTCTGTTTTAATTGAAGACGAACTATGCACTTTCTGCTCAGAAGAATACAAGGGGAAAAAAAAAAAGTTTCTTGAAAATCCAAATGAAAGAAAGGTAAAGCCAAAGTTTTTTGCTGTTTGTCTAATTGTAATCAAACTGTAGTTGGTAAAAAAGCTTTGTGTTCTTCAGAGAAACAGCAAGTAGGGACACGCACTGACATGCTGCTTATGCTACATTTGAAGAGTGTAATTCTTTTCATTTCCAACTTCTATTTCTCACTTTTACTGGTACAAACTGAGCTTTAGAAAAGCTCCATTATACCACGGTAAATTTGGAGCTGCTTGTTAGTCATGAGGAACAAGACTGTGTAAAAATTCAACTTAATTCTGTTGGTGCTTCTTAACTTTGTTTTGCTTCTGTGGCCCATCTTCATCTGTTACAAAAAACCTAGTGTTTCCCTCAACTTCTCCAAAAATGTTTTTCTTTTTTGCTTTTATCCCTGTTATCTGTTGATGTGGAAGACACTGATTTTTCTGTAACTGAGTTGATAGAGGGACTAGCAGGCAGGGAAGGAAGAAGGAAAGAGGGAGTCGTGTACTTTGAACTCTATTTTCTGTGTGGACTAGTTTCAGGAGACCTTTGGCCATGTTCTCTAATGCTTTTTGAGATACACGTAGGCATTTGCACTTTTGTAGCTGTAAGTAATGTCCAGTCATAAAGGAGTCATTTTGAACATCTGAGGTGTCTAGAAGGGGGAATTCACTCACTGCCTTGTGGACTTTTTTTCTGCATTAGACTACAGCATTTTTTCTTTTTTTCAGTAATTCAGATGGGGGATACTCAATGGAACAGAGATCATGTCAAGGGCATGCTGCAATGAATAAAGTTGCATACATACCTACTTCTGGGTGAACAGATGTTAGTGAAAGGTTAGGAGGGCTGGAGAGGTGTTTTGAAAAGCATATAGGTGATTGTAGACTACAAGCCTTCTAACTGCTTTAAAAACTGCCCCTGACTTCTGTCCCAATTCAGCTATGGGCTTGGTGTATAGATTGTGAATCTATATACCACAGAAGCCATGCAGCTTCCAAGTCTGTTTTCCTTATATATAAAAGGAAAAAATAAAATTCTTGTTTTTCTCTGTTACTCTGTGAATACTTCTTAGAGAAAGATGTTTCCTACCTTGGTCAATATCTGTAAAACTGAGCATTCAGAAGTTTTACTTTTGATAGTACTAGAGAGAGTAAACTAGAAACCAAATCCAAGTTAGTTGCCCACTTTAAAGATCCCCTCAAAAAGACCACCAGCTGAAGCACTTCAAGGTTCAGACTGTCAAAACTACAAAGAGGATAGAAAGATCTGGAACAAGTATGAGAAATTCATTTTGCAGTCCAAAAGAGACAAAAGGTCCTTGCAGAAAAGGATTGTGGAACTGGAAGTTGAACTGAAAAGATGCAAACATATTACACTTCCAGACCAAGAGAGAGAATGGAGGTCTGCTTTCTGAAGGTAAGTCTACTGCCTTTCAGCTGTAGAGGATTGTGCCTTTTCTTTTTAATTTCCTGTGCTGTTTTTCAGTGTACATTAGAGTGGGTTTCATGACTGAGGGAATTCCACATAGAAAGGGCTATAATCAATTCAATATGGAGTCATGTCTAGCTCCTGTTTAACAAACACATCTTTTCTAGTTATTTTTAAGACAAGGTGAAGAGATCTGAACCTATAGTATTGATAGTATGATTATGTCTGCTGGGTGTTTTGGGTTGCTTTTTAATGGATACTCTCAAAGAATTAAACACAGCTCTTTGTCAACACTTTCACTTCTAGATGACATTAGTGGTAACAAAAGGCTCATTGTTTATTATTTGTTTAGTCTGCTGGCAAAACGGATTACTTGGAATAATACCACTAAGTTTATTTCATGCTGTAAATCATGTCTTAATAAAACATTTTTCAAGGAATAGGTCAAGTCAAAATTAGATGTTTCTTCATGGGATGATTGTGTGCTTTTACACCGTTAAGAAAGTATTTTATCTATAATACCAAGTAAGTCTTTCTGCACAGCTAATGCCTACTTTGTTTGATAATGTGAAGCTTATGCTTTTTTTCCCCCCCACACTGTCTTCCTCTTTCCATATTCTTGTCCTTGAGCCCTCTGCCAGAAGTAGGGCCTCCTGTCACTGCTGTCAGCCAATTGCCACCTGCTGAATCCTCCACAGTGTCCTTGGTCTGTACTTGGGGGCTCTACCTGCATCTTCATTAGCAGGTGTAGCAATCTGGAGAGGGGAACTCTCAGTGCAACAATCTGATGCTTGAGCCACGTGTTGCAAGGGGTTTACTTTTGATGGGCTGCCCAGTGGTGGCTGGGATGCATCTTTAGGTTGATTTAATCTGAAAATAATCCAGTTTGCTTTTTTTTTTTTCCCAAGACTACCTGGTGATATAAATCACAGTGCAAGATGCATGGACAACTAGAAGATTTGCATTGAAAGCATTCTACATCTGAACTGAGATGATGATGTAGAAGTACCCTTTGATTTGTTTCACCTGTTCTATACACTTCAAAAATTTGAAGGTCAGTTTTGTTCTCCTGCTGACTGTTGTTCAGTGCAAGGGCAGGAGAGCCTGTGCTGCCAGCCTGTTCCAGGCCTGTCTCATGAAGACTGCTCCAAGCTCTGAAGGCAGCCAGTCTTCCAGTCCAGTGAGACTCTTCTAACACTGCTGGGGAGCTCTGATTCAGACAGTTCTGCCTGTGAATATGTGCATTCTGTCCTAGGGAGTACTTATGCATGGGCAAGGCCTTTCTGCCCAGCAGTTTCACTGAGTATTGGGAATGTGGATAAATATTATTTGCACTTTTTGGATGGAGAAGCCAGAAAGCCACTGTCCTGCCACTCACCAGTGGGTCAGGAGGAGAAGGGTGAATCCTGTTTTCTTGCTTAATAGATTCTGTGGGTAGTCTCTGGATTCACTACTTCAAGCCTTGTATACCAGCCACCTGCTCATTATAGAGAGAATTCATAACTCTTTTACATGTCTGTTCTTTTCCCCATAGTTGTTAGATGCACTCTTGAGAAGGAAGGAACAAAAGAAGAGAATGCTCAAAATTCTAAACACTCTTAATGTCTGGCAGTTAGACAATATTAATTATACATGTATCTGTGTATTTAGAAACTCAATAAAACTATTTTATTTCTCAATGATCCAGAAGAACAGCTTGTTCTGTAAAAGGCATTTTCTAACTATAGACAGGTATCAATTCCTTTATTGACTAAATTTATTCCTTCCCCTGCTAATGCGTCTGCTATCCTGCACCTCCTGATAAGGTGACTCTGACATATAACTTTATATCTTGGATAGAGGAGATGAAGTTTACTGTTTTGTTCACAATGCTGTCAGTATACAGCCACTGCACATGGGTGTTTTGAAACTTTGCTTTCATCATCCTAAAAGTTCCCTGATAACTGTTCACTTAAATAGCACACCACTTCATATTATATTTTTTTCATGGGCCAAATATGAGAATGAAGGCTGCCTGTCTTGGATCTTTACCAATGTTATTTTTGTCCCTGACCACAAATTTAATTTGTTCAAAAGCTGATGAGCGTGATGTCTTTGTGGTGACCCACACACTAGAATGAACTCCAGGCTCTCCTTGTCTAGGAAGTACTTGCCAGAACTGATAATGCCATTAAGCACCTGGGAGGCATTCAAGTTCAGGTGAACTCAGGTCTTTAAGCTGCTGTTGCTCCTTTAGAGAGTGGTTTGAGTGAGTGTAAAGTCAGTCTTGGATTTTTAGACACCGGCTTACAACTTTTAAAGGAATTCAGAGGTTTGAAGATACTTTTAAATCATCACAGCAGGAAGATCCAGCATTGTAATCTGAAGATGATACAGTAAATGAGTATACCTCTTGGTCAGAGTATTCCCCTACAGTGCTGGGGAATAGGGAAGCTAATGGAGGAGACAGCAAGAGAGCTAGTGAAGACCTAGTCTCCAGTGGCCTGCAGTTAAGAGATGTAGAGGACCTTGAGCGTGAAACTGTCCTGTCTATCTGGAGAGAGATAGGTCTCTCTTGTATTCTGCACAGCTGGAAAAGAGGAGATGCACTCAGCCTTATGGCATGATGCATGCTGTGTCTGCCAACAGCTTCCTTCTTCAGAGTCTAATTAGCATTGGACTTGGACAGATCCAGGAAATGGGTGAACATATACATGATTTCATTAATATTAATAGACTTGCTAAAGAAGAGTTCTACATGTTGACAAGATAATGCACAGCGTTAATATAGCTAATTTCTAGAGCTGGCGGGCATTCTGGTGTCTGTCTTGTGGAAAATGCCCAGTTATAACATTTCTTTTCAGTGTTTAACGTGACTCCTGAGGAAGATGCAGGTAAAATCCTGGTCCTAGTTTCAGTCAAAGCACCTGCTTCCCCTACTAGGACCTGGCCTTCCACCTCACTTTTTCAAATAAGTGCTCAGAATCTGAGCAGAGAACATTTAAGCTGTTGTTCAAAATTAACATAGAGCATATGGTGTCTTTTCCCCCTACCTGGGGTAACTTGTTAATTAAAATGGAGCTTAAGAGCCTGCCTCGAAGGAACTGAGGATGGAGAGGCAGAGCAAATGAGAGGATGGACATGAAGCACAGCAAGTTGTTTTTTGAAATGGAAGAGTTAAATCCAAGCTCAAAAGGGAAAAGGGAAAAATCTTGTTTCTGGAAATGAGAAGGTGCTTATCATGGATGTGTTGATGTATGTATGCCAGTGTACAGCTGTTTTCTTTCCAGTTCCCGTGCTTAGTCTGAAGTGTTTTAACTTCTGAAATATATAAAAGAAAGGTGGCTTATTGCTTGTTTCCTGTGTTGGGAGGGATGAAAAAAGGAGCAGGTTTTGCACCAATGAAGTTGCAAGGGGCACAGGGTTTCCCTTAATGTCCATTGGTATTGAAGAGAGAGAAAAACAGCTTTTTAGCTTTGTACAGTAAAAAAAATAACTAATATGATCTTTGTCATTCATGTTAGGAAAGAAGAATACATCCTTAATGGGAACTTTATATTTCTACAGCATAAAGAGAAAATCTACACATTGGTGGTGGTAGTGAAGCTGTGTTCTTCCTGGCAAAACACTGGGGGAAGCAGTGAAGACATCCTTATGCTTCCTTGTTCTCCAGGGCTGTGAGTTTGCAGGTCACAACACTGCTATGTGACTAAGGGAAATGGGATGATTTTTCTCTAGTGAGTCAAATCGTGAGAAATGAATTCTCCTGGTTCCTGTAACATCAAACATAGGGGAGTAAGAGTGCTTGGAAATGCACTGCTGAGTGCTTTTCTGCCACATTACCCCTCTTTTTATCAAGCTGGGATCTGGATCTGATCAGCAGTTGGTTGCAGAACCTGCCCCATTGCAAAATAGATTACTTTAGAGACCTGAGATGTTCCAGCAAGTCACCTTCACTTTTACAACCTGCAGAGCTCTCCAGTGCTTCAGGTATGGTCAGGATTGTACTTTAGGAAAACATACCCTCTGAAACAGCTGTGTTAACCTTAGAAAGTCTCTTGAAATCTGCAGTGCTGTCCCAGGCACACAGTGCAAACAAAGCCCCAGTTGCTGTAGGACATGTGTACCAGGGTTTCCTGATTCTGTGTGTGGTGAGATATGGCCTAAAATGAACCATTGTTATAGCAATGACAAAAGTCACTGGGGTAAAAATCATGTTATTTCCTTTGGAAAGAAAAGAGTTCTATTTTTAATTATTTTTTCCTTAATCTTTCCATTTCATTCTACCAGCGTTTATAGTACAGAGTACAATACTTCTTGTTATGATTGTTCTTTGTTTGACTGGGACGTAAGTAGACATTCTGCAGCAAAATGTCTGTGAAACAGAGTCCAAAGAGCTTGTGCGATAGGAAGTTCTAAAAAAATCCCACACAATACCCACCCACCCACAAAAATATCCCCAAAACCCAAACAAAACAAATAAAAAACCTAAAAGACTGTCAGTTCCCATGTGGAAAATTATTACATCCTTTGGAATGTAGCTTTCATATCAATTCTGTTAGGATTCTTTTCTTAAAAGGGATATTTTCTTTTTGGAAAATCAGATTTGCTGCAAAATTGAGGGTATTGATTTTGAATGCTAAAAGAAAGTCTGCCATTGGCAATGTTTTTGCTTTTTTTTTTTTTTTGGTGTTGTATGGTTGGCAGGGTTTCTGCTTCAGCCAGTTCTCTTGCTCTCCTGTACAGCCAGTGGACCCAAACAGACCTCTGTGACTGCAGAGCATCCTAGTCTTCAAGGAGGCTTTCATGCACATGTTAGGCTGGTATTAGTGCTGAAAGAGGCTGTTTTTTTCCTCTTTGCTATTATTCTCATTTCTCCCTTGCAATGGCACAAGCAGCATGGCTGGCAAGGGAACAGATCAGGAAACTGAACTGAGTAAAAATTTATAGAAATTTGAAAGAATTAAACTGAATGGAGAAGTGGGGGAAAATAGAAAATCTTGTTTCCCTCACCTTTCTGGGTAGTGAGGGTGCATTTGGGAGGGAGGGGATTGTTGTCTCCTTTTCTCTAAATTTCAAAGGGGTTTTGCCAGTGCTAGAGGGATGGCTGGGCTGCTTTCTTGCACCTCAAAAATTACTACAAGGCTTTGTGGCAGGACAATGTGAGGAGGTTGCAGTCCTATTGTAGATAAGATGATGTACTGTAGATGTTGCAGAAACATGAATATTGTCTGTTCAGCCTCTTGTGGGTACTAAGGCTGCATCCAGATGAGGAATTCTAGGGGCATGCTCATATAGTACTGTGTACCTTATGTGGCTACTGGCAAAATTGGATTTCACACTAGCTGTGGGGGAAAAAATAAAGGCAAAAATCCCCACCAAAACAAAATACCCCAAAAAGTTATGACCAAGTATGTCTTCCAGCAACACAGTGTTGCTGGTGAAAAAGTTGTTTCTGTGTGCACAGTTATGTGAGCAATAGACCCTATTTGGTCCCATGCCTCCCAGCTTTGTAATGAACACCAAAGGTGGGATTTTCAAAAGGACTGTAAAGAATAACTGTCCTAGGCTTATATCAGAAGTCAGGGAAAAACAACAGTCAGATCCCTCAGTATATTTGGGAAGTGATTTTTGTACCATCAACAAAAATTAGGGAACACACACCTAGGATGTCCTTGTGTATTATGACTGAGACAAATTAACAGCTTGTCTTGACCCCTTCTGCCTTTACTAGCAGTCATCTGATCTTCCCTCCCCTTGTGCTGGACACTGATGCTCACCAAAATGGCTGGAAAGGGCTTGTGTTGTGGCATGGAGTGTTTTGCAGAGATTATTTCTAGGCTTGTGTTGTGGCATGGAGTGTTTTGCAGAGATTATTTCCACTATTTTAGCAAGTTGAATAGGCTTTCTGGGTGCTCAGAAGGACTTTTTGATCTTGACTTTACAAGCCCGGAACACTGTTCCATAGCAAGCGGCCAGCAGAGAGGAGAGGGACTGCTCCCTTTCACCTGAAGCATTCACCTGAAGAAAACTTCTAATTCATTTCAAACTGTTCTGTGAAACGATAGGTTGGTTAAGAAAAAAAAATTTCAGAAGTACTTTATCAAGTATGTCATGCTGCCTCAGCCCTTTGTTCTCATTTATGGCAAGCAAATGGTATCCACAGAGATGTATGCACAAATAACAAATTATTTATCAAGTTATGATCTTTTCCATTATTTTACAGGATGCCCGAGTGAAGGAAATAGCAGAGCTGCAGGCCTTTGTTGAATGGGTGATAAATGGTGGTGCGTTAGATTGGAGTACAACTCAAAGCAGAAAAGGGAAGCATGTTTTCAGCATCTCTGTGCTGTTTAGATAATGTGTTTTACTGAAGTTTTGGTAAAACTATTAGTAAAAAATTAGAAAATAATCTTACCACATCATGGAAAGTACTTTTGTTTCCTGCAAGGTGATTCATGAGTGTAGATGAAACATTCTGCTGTGCGGTTTCTTTGGATTTTTTTGCACTCTGTTTTGAGAAACTGTTATGAATCTCTTTACAGGTTAATTGCCATGAAGACAGACTTTGTTCTTTTATCCTAATACTTGGTCTTTCCAGAATGTCTTCTGCCTGAGGAATTCAAATCTTTTTGCAGATATTGGAGTTTTCTGTTTCAAGGCACAAGCCTTTTAAGAA